GCATGTCATGTGCCATATCCTTTATTTTGATTGGATCATCTGAGCTTGGGGATGGAGCCCTACAGGTTTGTATTGAGAGCGAGTTCTACATGCACACTTGGATCTCCGAATCATCCTTGTTTAAAACAAACGCTAAGGGTCCAGCTCAATCCGGCCCCACCTCCGGTTTTTCTAGAGGATTTAGTCTACTGAGCTTGTCTGTATCCAAGCAAAAACTTCATTATACACACATGTTTATGACATAATCTTTTTGGTGACAAAATGGATTTTCTCAACTTAACTTTTATTTATATAGCACCTTACAGGCAAGAAGCATGCCACCAAGGCGCTTCACAGATCAATAAAACATAAAAGCATAAAGAACTTTGGGTCAAAGAAAAACAATGGATCAGATAAACGGACTAAAAACACAAAAACATAACAAAACCCTTTAAGTCATGACAGTAAAATTAATTAGAAAGATTAGAAATAGGTTTTCAGCCTTGCCTTAAAAACCGCCACAGAGGTGGAGACCCTTACGCTGAAAGGAAGCTTGTTCCAAAGCTTAGGACCTGCCACTGCAAAGGCCCTATCACCACGGGTCTTTAGGGTTAGGAGAGATGTTGCTGCTGGTTTGATCTGTGGTGAATGACTCTCAGCTGCTAAACCAACTCTTAGCATGAGTCAAACTGAGCTTTAGCCGTTTTTTTGTGTTTGCTAATATCAGTCCTCTGGATTTAGTTTTAAATAAATAATTCAGGAGAGTTTAGGAGTTTGCTAGTGAAGGTTCTCAGTCATCCAGGCCATGGTAATCCAAATGCTTCAAATGAAGTTCAGGAGATATTTCTGTGACAAGCAAAGAACAATGACTTTTAGCTGCTGTAGGCTAATCTATTAAAATCACTTTAAACCAGTTAAATCAGAAAAAAGGAACTTTTGCAGCCAGCAGATGAATCTGTTTAGGGGTTTCCTAGTTTGATCAGCAGGTTTACAACTCTCTAAATTTAAAACTGAAACCATCTAATGAGTGTTTATAGGAAGTTTGTTCTGAGTTGGGGAAGGATGAGTTAGTTACCAGAACAGGAAGTGGTTCCCACCCCTGAGGGAAATGGAGAAGCTCTGCGGGACCCAACGAGGATTTCCTGTTCCCGAATCCCACCTCAGACCAAACAGGTGTAATTATAGTTTTCCTATAGTGGGAAGAGTTTCATCATCTATATGAGCGGTGTTTGTGAAGAAGATCGACTCCATCGTCCATCCATCCGTCTCTCCATCCAACCATCCACCCATGTGCCCATCCATCTATCCATCCAACCATCCACCCACGTGCCCATCCATCTATCCAACCACCCACCCATGTGCCCATCCATCCATCCATCCATCCAACCATCCATCCATGTGCCCATCCATCCATCCATCCAACCATCCATCCATGTGCCCATCCATCCATCCATCCATCCAACCATCCATCCATGTGCCCATCCATTCAACCATCCACCCATGTGCCCATCTATCCATCCATCCATCCATCCATCCATCCATCCAACCATCCACCCATGTGCCCATCCATCCATCCATCCAACCATCCATCCACGTGCCCATCCATCCATCTATCCAACCACCCACCCATGTGCCCATCCATCCAACCATCCACCCATGTGCCCATCTATCCATCCATCCATCCGTCTATCCATCCAACCATCCACCCACGTGCCCATCCATCCATCTATCCAACCACCCACCCATGTGCCCATCCATCCAACCATCCACCCATGTGCCCATCTATCCATCCATCCATCCATCCATCCATCCATCCGTCTATCCATCCAACCATCCACCCATGTGCCCATCTATCCATCCATCCATCCATCCATCCATCCATCCATCCAACCATCCACCCATGTGCCCATCCATCCATCCATCCAACCATCCATCCACGTGCCCATCCATCCATCTATCCAACCACCCACCCATGTGCCCATCCATCCAACCATCCACCCATGTGCCCATCTATCCATCCATCCATCCGTCTATCCATCCAACCATCCACCCACGTGCCCATCCATCCATCTATCCAACCACCCACCCATGTGCCCATCCATCCAACCATCCACCCATGTGCCCATCTATCCATCCATCCATCCATCCGTCTATCCATCCAACCATCCACCCACGTGCCCATCCATCCATCTATCCAACCATCCACCCATGTGCCCATCTATCCATCCATCCATCCATCCATCCATCCATCCATCCAACCATCCACCCATGTGCCCATCCATCCATCCACGTGCCCATCCATCCATCTATCCAACCACCCACCCATGTGCCCATCCATCCATCCAACCATCCACCCACGTGCCCATCCATCCATCCATCCATCCATCCATCCAACCATCCACCCATGTGCCCATCTATCCATCCATCCATCCATCCATCCATCTGTCTATCCATCCATCCAACCATCCACCCATGTGCCCATCCATCCATCCATCCATCCATTCATTCATCCATCCACCCATCCATGAGCAGATCTATCCATCCATCCAACCATGTGCCCATCCATCCATCCATGTGCCCATCTATCCATCCATCCATTCATCCATCTATCCTTCCATCCATGTCCCCATCTATCCATCCATTCATTCATCCATCCATCCATCCATCTGTTCATCTCTCTATCCATCCATCCGCCCATCCATTCATCCACCCATCTGTCCACCCACCTTCCAGAGGGATTTAAAGCATCCACAGACCAGTTGTCCACCAAGTTCTGGGTCTGTCCTTGTGTGTCCTTCCAGACTCCAGGGCTATGGACCCACTTGGAATAGTCCACTTCTCTGAAGCGTCAACTCCAGAGTTTTATAACGTCTTAATTGAGTTTTTACAGCAGAAAGATTCTAATTAGAGTCATTACCTGATTCACTGGATCAGTCATGTCCTCAGAAGGTCCTCAAGTTCTTCAGAAACCAGTTAATCACCTCCTGATGTGAATCAGTTGTACTGAAGCACAGGAACATCTAAAAGTGGTCCTTAAAGACATGGACAGGAGACTACTGGGTCAGGATGTCTGATGTTCTCGATGAAGATCTTGTGTTGGACTGATGATCTCTGCAGCCTCAGGAGACCTCAACCATGGAGAAAGTTGGTCAGGAAAAGTGAAGCATCAAGGCATGAAGAGCTGGACCAGCAGGTCCATGAAGACCCGCCACATACACTCAACAAAAATATAAACGCAACACCTTTGTTTCTGCTCCAGTTTTTCATGAGATGGACTTGAAGATCTAAATTTCATTCCAGATACACAATATCACCATTGCTCTCAAACATTGTTCACAAATCAGTCTAAATGTGTGATAGTGAGCCCTTCTGCTTTGCTGAGATAATCCATCCCAACTCACAGGTGTGCCACATCAAGATGCTGATCCGACATCATAAGTAGTGCATAGGTGTACCTTATACTGCCCACAATAAAAGGCCACCCTGGAATGTGCAGTTTTGTCTCACAGCAAAATGCCACAGATGCCACAAGCATTGAGGGAGCGTGCAATTGGCATGCTGACAGCAGGAATGTCAACTAGATCTGTTGCTCGTGCATTGAATGTTCATTTCTCCACCATAAGCCGTCTCTAAAGGCGTTTCAGAGAATATGGCAGTACATCCAACCGGCCTCACAACCGCAGACGACGTGTAACCACCCCAGCCCAGGATCTCCACATCCAGCAGGTTCACCTCCAAGATCGTCTGAGACCAGCCACTCAGACAGCTGCTGAAACAATTGGTTTGCATAACCAAACGATTTCTGCACAAACTGTCAGAAACCGTCTCAGGGAAGCTCAACTGCATGCTCGTCGTCCTCATCGGGGTCTTGACCTGACTCCAGCTCGTCGCCGTAACAGACTTGAGTGGGCAAATGCTCACATTCGATGGCATCTGGTACATTGAAGAGGTGTTCTCTTCACGGATGAATCTCGGTTTACATTTTTCAGGGCAGATGGCAGACAGCGTGTGTGGCGTCGTGTGGGTGAGCACTTTGCTGATGTCAGTGTTGTGGATCGAGTGGCCCATGGTGGTGGTGGGGATATGGTATGGGCAGGCATTTGTTATGGACGAAGAACACAGGTGCATTTTATTGATGGCATTTTGAATGCACAGATATACCGTGATGAGATCCAGAGGCCCATTGTTGTGCCGTACATCCATGAGCATCACCTCATGTTTCAGCAAGATAATGTATGGCCCCATGTTGCAAGGATCTGTACACAATTCTTGGAAGCTGAAAATGTCCCAGTTCTTGCTTGGCCAGCATACTCACCGGACATGTCACCCGTTGAGCATGTTTGGGATGTGCTTGACCGGCGTATACGACAGCATGTACCAGTTCCCACTAATATACAACAACTTTGCACAGCCATTGAAGAGGAGTGGACCAACGTTCCACAGGCCACAATTGACAATCTGATAAACTCTATGCGAAGAAGTTGTGTTGCACTGCATGAGGCAAATGGTGGTCACACCAGATACTGACCGGTTCTGAGTCCCCAGGCCCCCAATAAAGCAAAAAAACTGCACATTTCAGGGTGGCCTTTTATTGTGGGCAGTATAAGGTACACCTGTGCACTACTCATGTTGTCAGATCAGCATCTTGATGTGGCACACCCGTGAGGTGGGATGGATTATCTCAGCAAAGCAGAAGGGCTCACTATCACACATTTAGACTGATTTGTGAAGAATGTTAGAGAGAAATGGTGATATTGTGTATCTGGAATGAATTTTAGATCTTTAACTCCATCTCGTGAAAAATTGGAGCAGAAACAAAGGTGTTGTGTTTATATTTTTGTTGAGTGTAGCAGAGGTAAAGGTCTTCATTAGGTGTAGAGATGGTGGGTCACAGTGTATATGAACATGGTTTGTCCTGGTGTGATTTATCATTATTATCACAAATAATTCTAAAAACATTGGGTTTTAGTTTCTAGTCTTGTTATACTGAAGTGTTTTTTCTGTTATTGGACACTTTTATTTGGTGATTGAGTAACTTTAAAGTCTCAGACTACTCCGACCAGTAGTCAGCAGCCATTTTCGTTGTTGCTTCAGAAAACTAATTTAGATATATCAGCAAATATAAACTCGGAAGAAAACACCTACAGATTTAAATCAGTGGGCAGAAACCCACGAAGCTTCAGGATGAGCTGAGTTTTGCATTTTCATCCAGGAAGCAGAGAGGTGGAACGTTTCCACACACACTTCCTGATTTGCAGCTTTATAAGTCATCTTCGTTGTCTCTCCTCCTCGCCGACGCCGATAGAGCAAAACTAAAGAAGATGAGCAAGCAGCTGATTGTCCTGGCTGCTCTGAGCCTCTGCTGCTGCTTCAGCATCCTGCACGGTGAGAAAAGGCTGTCACGCTTTCTTTACTCTGACCGCATCAACAATAAATGAAACATTAAGTGTTTTCATTTAAATGAGAAGAAACGTCTGTTTTTGACTCTGGTGGACGTTTCCTAGTTTCTGGTTCTGATAGATGGACGTGAATCTTTCTTCTGTTTCCTGGGTCTAGTCGTGTTTTCAGTGGTAATCAGGTTAAAAACTAAAACAACCAGATTAATGATGGATTAGGATGTCCATCGCCATCAACCACCAACCAGAGCATTGTGTTCTGGAGTGTCAGTAAAGGGCCGAGCGAGGGATTTGGGTCATGAATTACAATGAGTTTAATTAAAAACTTTGATTCAAATCACTAAGAATAATAAAGTAGTTTTAAAAACTGTGTTTGCAGCTTCTTCCAGATCTGGATGTCGCTGCTTACGGACGATCTCTCAACCCGTCCGCCACAACGCCGTCGCTAAAATCGAGGTGACCCCTCCATCAGGGCGGTGTCGCTGGACTGAAAGGATGTAAGTATGCTGAAAACCTCATAAGGATCAAGAATCTGACTAAGTGCATCTTCAAGGAGCAGAAATGTACTTCCATCCTTGGTCTTATTATAAATGATGATGATGACATACGTTGTAAGCCTTAAGCACAGGCAGATATCCTCGCTCCTCCTGCAGAAGATGCTCTGGTGAAGGCGTTTTGCACACCGCTCCACACTGCCCCCTTTGTAGTCATCTCACCAACTAAGCAGCATGCAGAAGCTGCTTGTTGCTTACAATGATGTGTTGAGAAGCCTCCCTAGATACCCAGAGGAGGGAGCCAGCCAGATGTTTGTACTTTTAAAAACTAATGCTGACTTTTGGAGAACGCCTGGAAGCTTCAGACAACCACTGATCCTAATGTGAGCCACTCATCCCGCCTGAGGACACCCCGGTTGTGTTGACACTTCTTAATTAATATAAACATATATAAATGTTTATGTAGATGTCTGTTACGTTTATGTACTTTGTTGGTTTTATATGTTTGACTTAGTATTTTTGATTGTTTTTATCTTCTGCATCTGACCTCATGTTCTACTGGAGCGGTGGTCTGGTAAACAACGTCTGCGGCTGCTTATCGTGTTGATCCTGAGGCCGGCAGCCGCTGCAGACTGGTTAGGAGATTCCAGGTTAACTTCGTAAAAACTCATTTAGCTTTTCTCTGTAGCATCTACAGGAAGAGAGGCCCTAAAGTTTGCATCAGTCCAGATGCTAAATGGTTCCCAGAATACATGAAAAACTTTGACCGGTAAATAAAGTTTGCATTATCTTCACTAACATTTAACACACGAGGGCATTTATTCTTGTTTTAATGGAGATGGAGGTGTTTGTTTCATCAGCTGAAACACTTTAAAACATTAAATGCACTCTTGGCTTTTTATATCTTGATTTTTATTTCCTCGATTTCAAACACTTTAAAATTTTGAACAAATAATTTTTTCTAAGAAATTTTCATTAGAATGTGTTGGAAGGGTTTTTAATTGCCATTTTTTTTTTTAGTTTTAAATGTATTCATTAGAGTAAATACATTCCTACGTTCCTCTGACAGCATGCTTATCTAAAGGCCGGGCGGCTGTTTTCACGCCCTCACCGCAACAACCAGCTGATTTCTGCTGAAACTACTTCCTGCTTTCACCAGAAGCTCTAAATAAAACCCTGATCTGTTTGTTTTTAACGACAGGAATGACGAGAGCTTCCACTCGACTCCTCTTCCTTTTTCTACAACAAATCACTGATTAACATCGAGAAGACGACGTGCTCTAACTCATGTTTCCGTAACATTACAAACAAATCTGCATGAAACCATAAAGTTGTAAATATGTGAAACTTTTTAAAACCAAAATTATTTACTAATCATCAGATTCTGGCTGTTTTAGAAACTTTTAACATGTTTTAATAAAAAAATAACAAGAAAAATTAACTCACGAGACCTTTTATTGCCTGTAGGAGGTGTGTGTGTGTGAGAGAGTGTGTGTGTGTGTGTGTGTGTGTGTGTGTGTGTGTGTGTAGAATTTCTTTAACATGTGACGCGGCATTTGTACAGAACTCATGAAATGAAACCGTTATTCCTGTTCATCTCCTGGAGACCTGGCTCAGGATCACATTTTCCTGATTGGTTGATTTCATCCCTGATGATGAACGATCATCTTCCGTTGGTCCTGCTGAGTTTTTGTCTCAAGCTTTGGTTCCCTGTCATGTTTTAGTGGGTTTAAATGACCCCAGAGGAGAAAAGTGCAGCTTCCTGTTTCTACTTTAGTGGAGTTTGATGCAGATCGGAGTTTTTCCACAGGGCAAAATCTGCTATTTAGGACCATTCAGTTCATGATGTAGCATCTTTGCTGTTGATGTAAAAAAAAAAGTGTTTTTTTCCCTTTAATTTTTAAGTCCAGCATACTTATCAGTGGAATAAACTCTGCAGCAAAATGAAATTCTCACATTTTATTGATTAGAATGTGAGATATGTTTTTATACAGAGTACAACATTAGAAGCAACACGTCTGCAGCATAGTTTCAGTTCAGCAACAACGAAAGTACACCTCTTTTTTCATTTGGCAGCAATTTTCTAGTTTTTGTCAGGGCATCGACTCATTAGACTACTCAGTCACACCGCTAGATAATCTGGATTAACAAATTTTGTATTCAGGAGTTGTTGGATTCTAAAACATCTGATCAGCAAGCAAACTTATAAAGAATTACTGATAAAACCTTCAGGGGAGAAAAAGCAAGAGAAGAATTCTGAGATCCAACTCCTCGTGATCTGATTCTCAACGTTGGTTTGGGAAAGGAAGGTTGGTTGGGTTCATCTCTGAATACCGTAGGCAATGCTGCTGTTGGACAAATGCAAGACTGAGGCACATTGTCTGTTTGTGGAAAAACAAACAAACAAAAGGAAACGCTGCCATGTGACAACATCACCTTCATCCTCTTCATCATCATCAACACGACCATCATCTTTATCACTATCACCATCCATCAGCAGCATCATCACCTTCATCCTCTTCATCATCATCATCACCACTACCTCTCCACTGTCACTGCATGCTTGCTTAGTATGAGGATTGCTGTAAAGACTCTGACACTAGTCAGTGACTCGATGCAACCTGCTGGGTTCCTTATACAGGAAACTTTTTTCTGATTGGCTTAATGACCTGACCTGTATTGGAATGTTTATTATGTAAAGTGCCTTGAGACGACTCTTGTCCTGATTTGACCCTATATAAATAAACTTGAATTGAATTACCATCATCATCATCATCACCACTACCATCATCACCATTACCACCATCATCATCATCACCATCACCATCATTATCACCACTACCATTATCACCACTACCATCATCACCACTACCATTATCACCATTACCACTACCATCATCACCATTACCATTATCACCATCACCACTACCATCATCAACATTACCACTACCATCATCACCATCATTATCACCAATACCATCATCACCATTACCACCATCATCATCATCACCATCATTATCACCACTACCATCATCAACATTACCACTACCATCATCAACATTACCACTACCATCATCACCATCATTATCACCAATACCATCATCACCATTACCACCATCATCATCATCACCATCATTATCACCACTACCATCATCACCATTACCACCATCATCACCACTACCATCATCATCATTACCACCATCATCATCATCATCATCATCACCATCAACACTACCATCATCACCATCATTATCACCACTACCATCATCACCATTACCACCATCATCACCACTACCATCATCACCATTACCACCATCATCAACACCATCATTATCACCACTACCATCATCATCATCATCATCATCATCATCGCTACCTCTCCACTGTCATTGCATGCTTGCTTAGTATGAGGATTGCATCAAGTCACTGACACTAGTCAAACAACTCACAGCTGCTCTTGATGAACATAACATTTATGATAGCTTCCAGTCAGGTTTTCGTAGAGCTCATTCTACTGAAACAGCTCTTCTTAGGGTCTCTAATGACCTTCTGACTCACAGTGATGCAGGGGACTGTTCTGTTCTGGTCCTGCTGGACCTGACTGCAGCCTTTGACACTGTTGACCATCACCTGCTACTGGAGAGGCTGAGAGATTGGGTAGGCCAATCAGGAACTGCTCAGGAACTGACTGGTGTCCTTCGGAAGCTCTTTGGTCTTGGCCATAGTGGAGTTTGGAGTCTGACTGTTTGAGGCTGTGGACAGGTGTATTTTATGAAGATAATGAGTTCAAACAGGTGCCATTAATACAGGTAACGAGTGGAGGACAGAAAAGCTTCTTAAAGAAGACGTTACAGGTCTGTGAGAGCCAGAGATTTTCCTTGTTTGAAGTGACCAAATACTTATTTTCCACCCTGGTTTAGAAATAAATTCTTTAAAAATCCTGCCATGTGAATTCATGCATTTTTTTTCCACATTCTGTCTCTCACAGTTTAAGTGTACCTATGATGTAAATTACTGACCTCTGTCATCATTTTAAGTGGGAGAACTTGCAAAATCGGTGGCTGACTAAATACGTTTTTGCCCCACTGTATGTAGCCAATCCTTAACGCTACATTATGATACATTTTTGGTCTTGATGCTGTTGTGTCCTTGGGCAAGACACTTAACCCACCTTGCCTGCTGGTGGTGGTCGGAGGGACCGGTGGTGCCTGTGCTCGACAGCCTCGCCTCTGTCACTGCGCCCCAGGGCAGCTGTGGCTGCATTGTAGCTCATCACCACCAGTGTGTGAATGGGTGAATGACTGACTGTAGGGTAAAGAGCTTTAGAGTCCTGACTCTGAAAGGCGCTATATGAGTGTGGGTCATTTGTCGTCATCTTCCCACAAAAGCTTCCCATTGGGTTCTATTCCAGGTGTGAGGAACCGCTGGCATAAACGGGGTTTTAACTAATCCAGTCTAATCTCATCATGGGTGTTTAGGCCACCTACATTCGATATGTGTCTTCTGGTACAGATTAATAATTCCAGACAGATCACATGGAATACTCTGATCAGAAACAGGAATGTTATCTGTAAATCCCAACAAATAGATCTCATATCAGAGAAGAAGAGAAGGTAATCTGATTACTAATATGAATAATTCAACAGAAAACTCACAAGATGAAGCCTTTTCTTATCGGTGAAAAGAGATTGAGATACAAGAACTAATGAGATTAACTCCATCTGGTTCTAAAGTGGCAAAATAATCCCAAAAACAAAAGCATCACCAGCTGTGTGGGTTTTTATGTAGAGCTGGAACAGCAGAGAAACGACCTGAAGGCATTCGAGCAGGAAGAGAATTTCTCACCACTAATTTAATATTTAAAATATTTATTTAATAAATGTGTGAAAAAAACCAAAGTGGAACAACAAACAGGTCATGTGATCTAAAACGGTTGTTTTTCGTTGGTTTTGGCAGAATCTACCAGCTGTCATGATCTAAGGCAAAACAGCAACATGGAGATTAGAGATTAACTTCTTCATCCCAACATTTGGTATCGAGCTCGTCCGGGGCGGGGCGGGGGGGGGGGGGGGGGGGGTAACGAATGTGAAAAAGAGCAACAAACAGGCGAATACTTCACTAATAGGTGTGTGTGTGTGTGGAGGGGGTGAACTGTACAGGGTCCTGTATAAAGGTCAGAGGATGGTGATGGGGGGATGTTTAAAAGCCGGGGGGTGGGGGTGGGGTGGGGGGATCTCTCAGGCTGCACTACCTGTGGACCGGCAGGTGCAGCCCATTGAGGGGGTTCAGCGGGTGGGGCAGGGGTGGGTGCAGCTCCAGCTGGGCCAGCAGGGAGAAGTGGTCCGAGGGGATGTGGGGGTGGGGGCAGCCAGTGATGCTGTTGTCTATCAGCCAATGGCTATTCAGCGGCCCCATGACCCCCAAAACACTCATATGTGTCTTGGAGAAGAAGATGTAGTCGATGACCCCCTGCAGAGAGGAAAACACCATCAGTCTGGCTTATCTACATCCTTGTGGCTCCCCCTAGTGGCACACAGGAAGAATTTACAGCTGGTGACAAATTTAGGCTGGATTAGAGCTGCTCCATTCACTCACCATTATGTCAAGAACCAAACCCAGAGTTCACATTTTAAATAACACACTTCTGTCGCACCAGAACTTCTGCAGATTACCATAAGAGACATTTTAAAAAGGGACTTTCAACCCTCGTCAACCCGTCACTGGACACCGCTGAGCGTGTGGAATAAGACCAAAAGGATCAAGGCATTTATCAAAATGGTTGTCACATGCTGCCCGTGTGTTGTGCTGTCCTTCTGCCACCTTCACCTTTAGTGACCTTTTAAAACACTGAGATGTTTCAAGGAAGCATCAAGAATTAGAAATGTACGAAACACTGAAAGTGTCCAAATGATAAGGTTTGAAATGAAAACCTAAACGACTAATGAAATATTTTCACACTTATACAACCAGGAGAATGTAGAAGAACCAAGAGGACACGGTAGAACCAGGAGAACGTAGAAGAACCAAGAGGACACGGTAGAACCAGGAGAATGTAGAAGAACCAAGAGGACACGGTAGAACCACGAGAATGTAGAAGAACCAAGAGGACACGGTAGAACCAGGAGAATGTAGAAGAACCAAGAGGACACGGTAGAACCAGGAGAATGTAGAAGAACCAAGAGGACACGGTAGAACCAGGAGAACGTAGAAGAACCAAGAGGACACGGTAGAACCAGGAGAATGTAGAAGAACCAAGAGGACACGGTAGAACCAGGAGAACGTAGAAGAACCAAGAGGACACAGTAGAACCAGGAGAACGTAGAAGAACCAAGAGGACACGGTAGAACCAGGAGAACGTAGAAGAACCAAGAGGACACGGTAGAACCACGAGAATGTAGAAGAACCAAGAGGACACGGTAGAACCAGGAGAATGTAGAAGAACCAAGAGGACACGGTAGAACCAGGAGAACGTAGAAGAACCAAGAGGACACGGTAGAACCAGGAGAACATAGAAGAACCAAGAGGACACGGTAGAACCAGGAGAACGTAGAAGAACCAAGAGGACACGGTAGAACCAGGAGAACGTAGAAGAACCAAGAGAACACGGTAGAACCAGGAGAATGTAGAAGAACCAAGAGGACACGGTAGAACCAGGAGAATGTAGAAGAACCAAGAGAACACAGTAGAACCAGGGGAACGTAGAAGAACCAAGAGGACACGGTAGAACCAGGAGAACGTAGAAGAACCAAGAGGACACGGTAGAACTAGGGCAATGTAGAAGAACCAAGAGGACACGGTAGAACCAGGAGAACGTAGAAGACCCAAGAGGACACGGTAGAGCCAGGAAAATGTAGAAGAACCAAGAGGACACGGTAGAACCAGGAGAACGTAGAAGACCCAAGAGGACACGGTAGAACCAGGAGAATGTAGAAGAACCAAGAGGACACGGTAGAACCAGGAGAATAGAGAAGAACCAAGAGGACACGGTAGAACCAGGAGAACGTAGAAGACCCAAGAGGACACGGTAGAACCAGGAGAATGTAGAAGAACCAAGAGGACACGGTAGAACCAGGAGAATGTAGAAGAACCAAGAGGACACGGTAGAACCAGGGGAATGTAGAAGAACCAAGAGGGCACGGTAGAACCAGGAGAACGTAGAAGAACCAAGAGGGCACGGTAGAACCAGGAGAAAGTAGAAGAACCAAGAGGACACGGTAGAACCAGGAGAATGTAGAAGACCCAAGAGGACACGGTAGAACCAGGAGAATGTAGAAGAACCAAGAGGACACGGTAGAACCAGGGGAATGTAGAAGAACCAAGAGGGCACGGTAGAACCAGGAGAACGTAGAAGAACCAAGAGGGCACGGTAGAACCAGGAGAACGTAGAAGAACCAAGAGGACACGGTAGAACCAGGAGAACATGGACATGGTAGGACCAGGAGAAGATAGAAGAACCAAGAGGACGTTGGGTACCTTGAAGTCATACGTGTAGTTGGTGTAAGGCATCAGGTTGCTGTCGTAGGCGCTCTTCAGCTGGAAGCTGTGTGTGATGCTGCCGCTGGAGTTCCCGTTCTTGCCGTTGCAGCTGAAGTTGGTCAGACACTCGTTGTAGCGCAGCTCCTTAAAGTCCTTGTGGTTTTCAGCCACTCCTCCGTTGCTCAGGTACTCCACCACACCTGGATCCAAGAACAGGAGCGTTTTACTGGAAAAGCAACAATCAAGAAGCTCTGGTTGTAGGAGGAGCAACGGAACTCCCTACGGCTGTACCGGAGTCGGGCAGCGAGTTGAGGTCAGCACACAGAACGATGGGGATGGAGGAGGGGTCGGAGGTTGGCGAGCCCGTCGTAACAGAGTCCGAAGCTCTCTCAGCGATGCTCTTCAGCTCCGACAGGAACATCATGGTCTGGATCAGCTTGACGTCTGAGAACTCTGGGTCCCAGTGCATGTGGGCGTTGGCCACCAGGATCAGCTGCCTCTCCTGCGGCGGCTTCATGCCTCACAACACAAACAGGAAATTAGGAGATGTCCTTTAATCACCTGGAGGTGGTTGTCACGGTGACTGCCTGTCCTTACCAGCAGAGAACATGTCCTTGTTGACCTCCAGTAGAACAGCCACTCCGATGTTGTCTTTGGTCATGACTCTGTTCAGCATGACCTCTGACCCCTCCGAGTTGGCCATGGCCACCTGATTGAACTCCACCGTGTGTTTCTGCACCAACGAGAACCTGCAGAGAGTTCACATCCACATCAGAGATTCAGGTTCCCATGCAGCGTTCCCGGCGCTCCGAGGCTCCTGAACTTACTTCTCTGTCTTGAAGAAGATGGCACAGCCGTCCACGTGCTTCCTCTCCTGCTCCGAAACCAGTTTGGCACGAGACTTGGGACAGAAGTAGCCGTCGTAGCCACGGTCCCGTAGCGTTTCCAGAAACAGCGTGTAGTACTGCTCCGTCTCCACCTCCTGCAGGAGCAGATCTCCATCAGGACGTTTAACGGGAAAGTCCGGAGGAAAAGGTGGAGCCTGTGCGTGTTTACCTGAAGGCTGATGATGTCGGCGTCACAGCTGGTGATTTCCTCCATGATGCCTTTCTTGCGGTACTCCCAGCTTAAGGCCCAGGACGGACAGTAGCCGTACAGCTGCCGCGTGGCGTACTTGTCACACAGCACGTTGTAGCACATGACCGTGAACACCGCTGGAACACAAACGCTCGCTTAATGACTCCGGAAAAGCACCGACGGTTCGGGTTTATTTTATGACTCAGACGGGTTTCATATGAATCCAAACGAGTTTCCGACTTCATCTTTTGAAAACGACAGATTTAATTGTGAGAACTAAAAGCGAGGCCAGCCCCCTAAAGAGATGGATCTTCTGCTTTCTCAACCAAAATAGAATAAAAGCATAAAAACATCAAACGTGCTCGGTGAGCTGGTTGGTTTCCATGGAAACGCACCTGTGGGAATCATCTGGTCTCGCTCTTTCAGAGTGATCCACGGTCTCTGAGGGAGCTGCTCCGGGTGAACTGGAAACAGGGAAGACAATGACGGATCAGAGCTCGTTTATCCGGACCTACCTGTGAGAACACACCTGCAGCTTTAGAACGCTGGAGAACCTGCTAGATTGTCGAGCATGTAGTTCAAAAGCTTTCTGGTTCCGTCGGGCTCCTGGTAGATGTTGAGGATGTCCTGGGACAAAGGATTTCCTGCCACAGAACCAAACAGGTGAGTTCTCCTCCTAATCCATGAAGTCAGCATCCATAACCGTTAAGCTGCTGATGGAGCGTCTCACCTTTGAGCCCGAGGGTTTGGAGCTGGAAAAGCCGCCCGAGTTCATAAGGCAGGACTCGTAGAAGATTGTTGTTCAAAAGCAATTCCCTGCAAGGAGAAGAAGCTTCAACAACCTCTCATGGTGGCATCCTTCACGTCTAACGCTCGTGTTCAGGGTCACGCAGGACATGAATTATAATGTCGTTTTGCTGATTTAGAAGTTCTTGCAGAACTTGAGTCCAGACTTCAAACATCTGTTTATGACGTGTTATTCATCATTTTTAACTTGTTCATTTAAAACCATTTTCATCCGCTCATACGGAGTCGGGTCGCGGGGCAGCAGCCCGAGTCGGGAGGCCCACACTGCCCTCTCCCGAGCCACTTGCCCACCTACTGAACTTCTCTGGAATTGATAAGGAACTGGATCGATGGACAGAATCGACAAGGTTGTTGTTATTGATAAAAACTGATCAAATCCCACCGCTAGATACACATGCCCGAAAAACCTCACCAGGAGGCGTCCTGACCAGGCGCCCGAGCCACCTCAGCTGGCTGGGGAGGGTGTGTGCGTGCATGTGTGTGTGCACGCGCGTGCATGTGTGTGTGTATGTGTGTGTTTGCGTGCGTGTGTGTGTGTGTATGTGTGTCTGTGCATGTGTGTGTGAGTGCGTGCGTGCGTATGTGTGTCTATGTGTGTGTATGTGTGTCTGTGCATGTGTGTGTGTGTATGTGCATGTGTGCGTATGTGTGTGTATGTATGTCTGTGCATGTGTGTGTGTGTGCATGTGTGTGTGTCTATGTGTATGTATGCAGAGACACACAGACACACACACAGACACACACTGCAGCACTCCCCACGTCCGTCCTTACAGACAGGTGTGTGTGTGTGTGTGTGTCTGTGCATGTGTGCATGTGCATGTGTGCGTATGTGTGTGTATGTATGTCTGTGCATGTGTGTGTGAGTGCGTGCGTATGTGTGTGTATGTGTGTCTGTGCATGTGTGTGTGTGCATGTGCATGTGTGCGTATGTGTGTGTATGTATGTCTGTGCATGTGTGTGTGTGTGTGCATGTGTGTGTGTGTGTGTGCATGTGTGTGTGTCTATGTGTATGTATGCACAGACACACACACACACACACACACTGCAGCACCCCCCACGTCCGTCCTTACAGACAGGTGTGTGTGTGCGTATGTGTGTGTGCGTGCGTGTGTGTGTGTGTGTGTGTGTGTGTGTGTACGCACACGTGGGAGGGTCTCACCTTTCTCACCCTTGACCTGTGTTCATGTCTGACTGGTTTAATCACCTGATTCAGGGTTTTAAATGACCGCTTTAGCATCAGTTCGGTTGAAACTGTCGGACACGACGGACGACCCCACCCACACTGCAGCTGAGTTAAAGGTCAGGGGTCAGAACTCCACCCACCTGAGAGTAACCATGTTGCCCAGTTCGGCGGGCAGACTTCGGAGCTTATTGGATGACAGGTTCAGGTAGACCAGGTTGGGCAGCTTGGCGATGTCCGGTGGGATACGAGTCAGGTTGTTGTCGTTGATGTGGAGCGCCGTCAGGTGGGTGAGGGTCCATAACGAGCTGCTCAGGCTCCGCACCCTTCCTGTGTAGGTGGCGGAGCTTCATTTTACTAACATTTCTGAACACAGTGGGCCAAACTGACCCCGACACTGAAAACATGGACAAGACTTTCTCTGGATATAACGTCCAGAGTGTGTTTTACTGGAAGTAAATGCAGACTGACCAGAGATCTCCAGCTCAGCCCAGTGAGACTTCTTCCCACCAGCCGCCTCCTCAGCTGACATGATGGTGTAACATCTGCGGGGATCTAGGGGGTCATATTTCTCCTTTGGCATTCCTGTTAATCTGCAGGACAAACCAGGAGCACGAGTTATCGTGGCAATCGTAAAAGAAAACACCAACTTTTATTTCAAGCACTAAAAAAATGTGGAAAACAAGAGAAGAACAATTTATAAGAAACTCAAAGGTTTAAAAAAAAGCTCGAGGCGTTTTTTAGTTAATGATGACGGAAGCAAACTGCTCATTTTTCTCAGGAGGTTTCACCTGCTGAGGAGCAACAAAACCACTGAAACCAGAACAAACCAGCAGAACATTTGATCAGTGATTACAGTTTTAATCAGAAGTTATCCACATAAAGAAAAGTCATCCAGAGGACTTCCTGCACTTGTAGGATGATCGTCGTAGAACCTCATCTTTAAACGTTCCTGTGGATCTACAGCCTGATTACTTCAGAATGGTGAGTTACAGCAAATACGTTCAGGGCCTTTGGGTGAGGTGGGTTCAGGCGCAGCAGGTCACAAGTGTCTGCAGACACCATCACAACTCCAACAGGTCATGTTGCCTCAGGAGCTGAAAGAGGGCCGTGTGTGTGTGTGTGTGTGTGTGTGTGTGTGTGTGTGTGTGTGTGTGTGTGTGTGTGTGTGTGTGTGTGTGTGTGTGTGTGTGTGTGTGTTGGAAAGTATGCAGCAGTGACAACTGCTCAGGCAGCTGAGGGACGAGTGTCCAAACATAGCTGTGGTGTCAAAAGTGACAAGAGGACAGGCCCGCTCACCAGCTGCTGGCACACCTGACACCAAGGTAAACACGCGCTCCGATTCGACACCTTCCACGGATGTCAGCGACACATTTACCTATGCAGCAAAGACCGGTCACGGTAACCGACCAGCGCTCCCGAAGCACGGGGCTGGAGTAAGTCAGCCAGCGGCGGCTGGGCGCATGCTCCCCGGGCTCCAGGGGCTTAGGGTGGGGGACACGACCGGACAAGGACCGAGTCGGGCTCTAAGCTGGTTTAGCGCCGAGCCGCCCGGGCGAACCGGCTCTAGATACAAAACGTGTTTACCTTCATCCGGGGGCTGTAGAAGGGAACTGGCAGCGACATGCAGGCGCGGGTTCAACCCTGAACGTCTCGGAAACAGAAGGAAGAACAACAAACGCGGCTTCCGCTCGTTACCGACAGTCCAGAGCGCGGTCGTGCACGCGCCTACTAGCTTCTTAGCATAAATCCCAAACGAAACTTTACAAATATGCTCATTTATTAATTGTTAATAAGTGACACATATTACGCTAAAGTTTGATACTAAACATGTGAAGGACACGTGCTAGCTGGTTAAACTCGTCATCTGTGACGTGTAGCTGACGTCACTTTATTTGACAAAAACCCGATGCAAAAACCAGAGATTCGGCATTATTTTTATTTGTTTATCTTATGCTTGCAATTCATTCATTTTGCCACTTTACACGATTTTAACATCAACATTTACTTCTAATCACACCTTAAAACAAATACTGAACTCGATCATTTAAATCAGTGAATCTTTAACATTAGATGAGATTTTAGAAACGTTTTTAAACGGTTTCCTGTAATGTAAACTGGTTAAGTTAGAGCCGACCTTTTAAAAATAAATATGTGTGTTTGTGCGGAACCATTGAGCGAACTGCTGTTTTTACACGGACAACGGACCACCAGAAGCAGACATGGCAACCTGCTCGCGGGCAGCTTGGAAAGGTCAGTGAAATTAGTTTCTCATCCAGGAAAAACGGTAAATTCATGAATGTTATTTTTTTGTTTCCGGTTGGGTTATTTTCTGTAGATTAGCGTTTTAGCTGCCCTGCTATCTGTTTCCGGTTAGTGTGTCCTGAGCCTAAACGCTCACAGAGGTTACGGAAACATGTTTTCCATCAACGTGTGGTTGCAAACTGGAGCCCCTCTGTTATGCTAATTAACTTTAGCTCACATCGTTTTCAGGAAGGTGAAAAAGTCTAACTTTTCTAGCGTCTTCTCCTGTGTTTACCCACCTGTCCGTCAGTCACATGTAACTACCATCATTTTGGCAAATATCCCACCTAGGCTCCCGTGTCTGTCTGAAACACAGGAGTCCTGATGGTTGAACCCCCCTCTGTCCGTGCGGCTCGCGCTGCTTTTTACACCTTTAGTGGTGTTGGACACGTGTTTACGGTGGGTTAACCGGGGTTAATGGTCAAACCAGTTGTTACCTGTAACCCTACTCCTCCGGTGTGGCCCTGGCCACCCTTTTGGGGAGCCACTGCTATTATTGTAACCTCCAACCACTAAAAACAACAAATAAAGGAAACATGTGTTTCCAGAACTATGCAGCGTACAGTAAGAGACACGAACGTACTGCGTACATCTGGTATTGAACACACACACTGAGTATTGCATTGGTGGTGTTGTGTACCAGGATAATGCCAGTACCAGTTAAACTGGGGAATCCTACACTTGCTGCTGAGGGGATGAATGACCTACGGTAGCGTTCAGTTCTACATCTGGGATGCCTGTAAAGGAGCTGTCCATGGTCTCCACAGTGGGGGCGGGGAGGGGCTTTTTAAGGGGGAGGTCATCTTCCCCAGCATCCTCCTTTCACACCTCTCCTCAGCTGCATCCAGTGGGTGACCCAGTATGGAACAAACTGGTCCAGATTAGACCCGTTTATAAGGTTTTAATTAATTAAAACTTGTTTACATGTTAAAAGAAAGCTGTGATTGGTAGTAGTCTTGGTCTTAAACCAAGAAGCTACCTTGAAAACTTTAAATCGAGCCTAAATGTCCATTTTTGAGGGCATTTTTCAGCTGTTGGAGTGAATTTAGAGCCAACATCAAGCTTCTGAGAGGTGCGCGAGCGGCCACCCTCATCAAACCTTCTTTCATCAAGCTTTAGCTTCAAGTTAAACAGGACCCGGGGGTCTTTTGTTCCTTTGATGATTTATTATTTACACCTTATTTTGAACAGAAGACGTTGTACGGCAGCCAAAGAAGCTGCTGTATCATTTGAGCTGCTACTTACTCAGAAATGCAGTTTTTAAATGTGTAAAAAGTTGCTAGAATATGAAGTGTTTCATGTTAGGAGGATGACACAGAAACAGAGGTTAAATCTCAGGATTAGATGTAAATAAACCCTTGTGTGTTTAATCCAGCTTTAGCAGGATGTCGGAGGCAGCTGCTGAGTTCCAGCGCTCCGGGTTATGCTGCTGCATCGCAGACCGCACCGAAGAGTTCACCCATCAGGACTTTTGCTGCGTTTAAGTAAGTTCACATCCAGTGTTTTCTTTTTGCTTCAAGCCAGCCTGGTCGGTGTTTGCTGCTGAATACATATGTTTTTCTGCATGACCCAATCCTTCCTCGGCCTAACTCCCCTCCTGCTGATTGTCAGGGCGCTAAAGAAACGCAAGTCAGAGGATGCAAAGAAGGAGGTGAAGAAAGAGTGGAGGGTCATCGATGACACAGGCAGACACAAGCCTTATGGGAAGACGGCGTGGGCTCCCGTAGACGATGTGTACATTAAGAAGTTTTATCCCAGAAGCGTCCACAGTGCAGCTTCTGCCATCGACATGCTGAAGAGGTTCCAGGAGTTGGACTTCACTCCGTCCAACCAGCCCGTTTATGTCAACCTGAAGCTGGACATGCAACTGGAGAAAAAGGTGACGGTAAAAGTTTTAGTCACCTGTGGTTGTTCTACATGAACTCTGGTTCTCTGCTGCTGGAGGACCAGATTCTCTTTTCTTCATAGCTTTTGATGAGTTTTGTTTCTCGAAGGTTCTTCTTGGAGTTTTCGTATCAGAGTTTTTTTATATCCGCCACAGATCTCTCTGAAGAACTCACAACATTGACGGCTTCAGCACTGCTGTGCCACTCTGTGGATTTTCTCTTATTTGTTTAGCAAAAGCACTTCCTTTCATTCCTCCACCTCACCCACAAGTACCTCAACTTCTGCGTCTGTGGAAAAGCACTTCCTTGATCTGCGGTCGCCATCATTAATGGTGGAGCGCTGCAGCGAGCCGGCTTATGTATATGCATGAGATCCTCAAGACGCTTTGCATTGACCATTTATGGCAGAAAGTGGGCGTGGTGAGGGTGGGATGTGGCTCAGAAACAGCTAAGAACCTTTCTAGGTAGAGTGATTTAGAAAGCGGAGAGTGCATGCAGCTGTGTGTACTCCATGTTTTATAGATCGCATACCTACTTGGCGTAAGTACATTTTTTTTGCTGAGCTGAAGTACGGTTTTAGTACGGATTCTAGTAACGTTTTATAGATGAGACCCCTGAGGCGTCTGAGTCTTTGTACGCTGAGCAGTTCAGTCAGCTAAAAACGCTGTGACACATCACAGGGCTGCAGACGGTCCTCCGAGAGCATCTCTGTCTCCTCATTGGTTTCCATAGAGCCAACGCTCCCACATGTAGGAAGTCATCAATTTCACAGAGATTCAGGTTTCAAATGCTGCAAGATAACCGTTATCCAGTAGGGATGCACCGATACGATACTGGTATCGGTATCTGTATCGGTGCCGATGCAGTATCGGTAAAAGTTAACAGATACCAGTAACTGATACCAATGCAGTTGCTTGAAAGTGACTTCACTGTAACTTGTCATTTCTGTTCACCTAATATTTTAGTTTTGTGATCACTTATATTACTTTTTATCTACCTCACAGTCTTTTCCTATTGAAAACAGAGAAGAAAATAAAGGCTGTATTGCAATTCATTGCATTTTTTTGTGTGGTAGAAGTATCTGTATCGGTATCGGCGAGTACTCAGATCCAAGTATCGGTTTAGAAACAAGTGGTATCGTTGCATCGCTATTATCTAGTGTGGCGTTTGACTGACGTTCCCTCCTTCATGTTTTCCTCCCAAGCTTTGATCTTCCTGCAGCTTGCTGACTGTTCCCAACAACAACAACAACAAACATCCTTCCTGTTTCTGTCTCCCACAGAAAAAAGTCGACCCGTTTGTCAGCGTCGTTCACTTACCACACCCCTTCAGGACAGACCCCAACAAAGTTTTAGTTTTCACCGAGGTAAACACTTTCCTCTCCCAACCCGCACTTCATCTTCGCAACCGCCGTGTGTGTGTGTGTGTGTGTGTGTATGTATACATACATATGTATGTATGTATAAACACACACACATATATATACATATATACATATATATATATATAAATATATATAGGTATGTGTGTGTGTATACATACATATATATGTCTGTATAAATGTATGTCTGTGTATATATATATATATATATATATATATATATATATATATATATATATATATATATATATATATATACAGACATACATTTATACAGACATATATATGTATGTATACACACACACATACCTATATATATATATATATATATATATATATATATATATATACAGACATACATATATACAGACATATATATGTATGTATACACACACATACCTATATATATTTATATATATATATGTATATATGTATATATATGTGTGTGTGTTTATACATACATACATATATATATATATATACACACACACGATTGTGTGTTTCTGCTGTTGATGAATTGGGCGTGTCCCTTGTCCGTTGTTGGTGTTGCCCCCGGCTGCTGTTGTGATTAAATGATTTCTATTCATACCACGTGTCACACATAGTGTGATTATTTTAGATAATTCACCTAAGCCAGGTTGAAAGACCCCTCCCTCCATCTCTGCAGGACCCGAAGCAGGCCACAGCTGCCCAGGAGAACGGAGCAACGATTGTTGGAGGAGCCGAGCTCGTTCAGCTGGTCAGTTCTTCAGTTAAGTTTTAATTTTAATTTCTGTTCTAAACAATCACAAAAATTATTACCGTAGTGACACGAATATAAGACGACTCCCCTTTCCAAGACTAATCTTCAGGAAAGGACAAAAAAAACAAATCACTGTTTAAATAAACTATTTTTATATAAAATTTGAGAACATGTACTGAGAAAAATACTATTTCAATGCTAACTATCAGAACTTTGCTGACGTGTGAAATCAAAAGTCAGATGAGGCTTTTGTTCAGATGCCCTCTGCCTCGCTGTACACTCTCATGCAGCTGCGGTCCCCGGTGCACCATCACATCCCCACACCTGCTGGCTCCTCCCAGAACATCATCCTCACTGCCTTCCAGTACATCCATGCATGTGATGTTTTACACCTCTGCTGAACTGGCCACCGTCGTTACTCTGCCTTAGTATGCTAACTTGCCCCACTAAAAGTCTACTCTGCTCTGGACTTCTCGGCTCCAGTTTTTACTCCTGTGGAGAATACTCAGCCTGGCGCCCTCTGCTGTTACGGGCGTGTAATGGTTAGACCCTGATTATATGGAGACCCCACATTTTAAAATTATTTTCAATGAAAAAAAACTGTAGCAATTAACACATATTAATTATGACCAATAAGATGTGATTTTCCGTATAAGTATGAAATATCAACCTGATTGATCTTTGAATGTGTGTGAATGTGTGTGTGAATGGATGAATGATACACTGTAGTGTAAAGCGCTTTGGAGTCCTTACTCTATACAAGTGCGGGTCATTTATCATTTACCAATGTTTAACCAGAAGATTCTAGGGTTCTTTGCTTCTTCAGGGACCATAAACACACTTCGTATTAATTCAGACAGAGTCAGGATGCAGTTTATAAAATTAATTTAATTATTTTTCCTAAACTAATAATTAATACATGACAAGATATGAATAATGTGAGGTGGTGTGGTGGAAGCTAGATGTTGTAGCAACTAGGGCTGGGCGATATGGCCTCAAATCTATATTGCGATATAATCTGAAGCATGTGCGGTAACGATATATGTTGCGATATGTTTTTCCCTCTGTTTATATATGTCAAAGTGACATGCTTTTAAATATCCTCATGTGGCAAATATATGCCACTTGAGGCATACAGGCCTCCTCCTCCACCCACTCCATGCTTGCAGTCACTGCCATTCTGTTGCCCCAATGTCAGCAGGGTGCACATCTTAGTGACGTCATGTGTTATCGTGATATCGCGGTATTGCGATATAGCCAAAAACTATATCGTTTCTACCTTATATCGTTTATATTGCCCACCCCTAGTAGCAACCGTTCTTTGTATCTGAGAGAAATTGTGAAATCTGGTGTAAAAGAATTTGTTGTTTGTTATAAACTAGAGAGTTGTTTATTAAAACAGCGTCAAACACAGTCTGTCGTGCCAAGTCTACGCACCCTTGGTGTGGAGGTCCTCGTTCGATCCGGGGGGGGGGGTCGATGGTCACTGCTGGTGGAGTGAACTCTGATATCAGGAACCCGTAGATAGCTCTGATAGGACCCGTCCAGTCTGAGATGCTTAAACTCCTCCGCTGGAGCAGGACCTCATCCTGACCCGGAGAAGGAATTCTACCCTTTTCTGTCTCAAGGTTTTACACGAACATGATGTAAAACCACAAAATCAGGAGGCTGAAAAGCTCATTATTAAAGAGCAAGTCACCCCCAAATCAACTTTTTTTTGCTGATAAACTATATAAATGTGTGTCTAATTGTGCTGTAGACACATGTGGTCAATAATTTGGTACTTCAGTGTATCTTAGTTAAAATTTAAATATTCTGCCTAAAACTGTCAGTGTTGCGCCGTCGTCAGGTAAAAACTCTGCACTGCATTGGAATTTAAATCTGCCACCGCTATTGGCTAAGAGGTATGCTATGATGTAAACTGGTACATTATGATGTCACAATGCTGTTGTGAGCCTGTGTGTGTGTGTATTTGTTAGCGGCTCCGCCCTCTCGGTCTGCCAGGCAACAGCATTTGTTGCGTTTTTCAAACATGAAAAGAGAGTGCAGTAAGTTTCTTGTAGGGGGTGACTTGCTCTTTAATGACTTCATAGGAAAAAGTTCTCAGCCCTTTATTTATTTATTTACTTTTAGCAAAATGCAGACATTTTGATCTGTAAAATAAAATTTGTTTGGACATTTTTATTCAAATTTTAGTAAAAAAAATCCTGTAAATCTTTAATGGAATGCTTGAATCAAGCATTACAACACTGACTTTAACGTGCGTGTGCGTGCGTGCATGTGTGTGTGTGTGTGTGTGTGTGTGTGTGTGTGTGTGTGTGTGTGTGTGTGTGTGTGTGTGTCACAAATCTTGATTTAATTAGGTTTTCTTACATTTTTTTTAATTTTCTTTATTTCTAACTAGACAGCCGTCTCTAGGAAAAACAAAATTATGGTGCCCTGAAGCTAACTGACCTTGTGCCCGTGGTTTACACACACACACACGCACGCACACACACACACACACATGTGCAGATGCCAGCAGACCTGTTGAAAATGGTGCAGGACATTTTTCTGTGTAAACGGAAAAAGCCGAAATGTTTTTTGGATTCCAGATTTTAGACGATGAGATTTCGGCTGATTTTTACGTCGCAACTCCCGAAGTTCTGCCGAAGCTGATTCTGCTGAAGAACAAACTGAGGAAGAAGTTCCCGAAGAGCAAAAGAGGTGAGACTCAAACGTGAAGTGGAGCTGAAATAACTCTGATGTTTCATTAATCCTGGATTACTCCTCACGCTCAGGCACGGTCGGCAACAACGTTCCCAAAATGCTGGCACTGTTCCGGACGGGTCACGAGTACCTGGTGGTGGACGAGTGCTTCGTACAGACCCAGGTCGCCACGGTGAGTCACCTTCAACAGCGACGCGTCATAGTTCAAGTGGTTTTTAATCTGATCAGATGTGTGATGTTTACCTGAGGGTTTGGGTTATTTATGAGTGAAACCACAAGTAAACACATTTATTTGTGCTTTAAAACAATGCACCAGTCGTTGGTGTGAATTGTGTAATTATTCCCAGGAGAAGTGAGGAAATAGTTTGGAGGTGCTGCTGATGCTAAATATTCTTCCTTCATCACACAGAAGAGTCATTTACAGTAAAAACAAGCTGTGAGATGTGGTTTTACTGGCCTTTAGGGTGTTTACATCATTTAGAATGAAATAAAACATGAAGGATGTATTATTAGCAAAGATCTAATAGTTATTGACCTTGCTCTCTCTCTCCTCTAGCTCGACCAGCCAGGTCAGCACATCTTCGCCAACCTGCAGACGATCCTGACCGACGTTTTTTCGCACCGGCCAGCTCACATGGGTACGCCCAACCAGACCCAGAGCTGCTGGGGCGCTTCTGCTTCTTCTGGACAGTAATGGTTATTTTCCAGCTGATTTAAAGGTGCATTATGTAGAAATGAAGTAAACACGACATCCTGTGGTCAAATCTGGTAACTACAACCACTCAAAACAACTCTGGAGCTTTTTGCTGGCTGTCGTCAGACTCCAATAGTCGGCGCCGCAGCATTAGCTCACAGGAGACACGCCCCCCCCCACTTGGCAGTCGTTACGACCCCCCCTCCTTTGTGTTGAAGGGAGAAACGCCGACAACCCAGCAGCTGGATATGAAACATGTTTCAGTGTATCCTTCCTCCCTAAATGACTGAAACAGACCCTTTGGGATTTTCTCACTATGTTCTTACATACTGCACCTTTAAGTCCCCTCCCTCCCATTCATGAAGTTTTCCGATTCTGAAATGCAAGTTTTAATATTCCTTTAAGCTTTTAAAATGTGAGCCATAAACAGGGCAAAAAGGAACAAAAGTTAAGCCTTTTAAACAGAATTGTTGCAAAAAGGAAATAAATTAGTTCAGGGGAACAAAACAGAAAGCTTGTCTATTTTTATCATGTCTATATTTACGCCTCTAATGGAAGAAGGCGGCGGCTCTTCTCGACTCGGATGCATCAAGTAGAGACGGATGTTTTTTATCCTTTTATCATTTTTGAACGTGTTGCTGCGTTTGAGGACGTCTCCGTCCTGATGAGACCGACCAACTGAGGACGCTTTAGCGTTTGAGGACGTCTCCGTCCTGATGAGACCGACCAGCTGAGGACGCTCTAACGTTTGAGGACGTCTCCATCCTGATGAGACCGACCAGCTGAGGACGCTCTAACGTTTGAGGACGTCTCCGTCCTGATGAGACCGACCAGCTGAGGACGCTTTAGCGTTTGAGGACGTCTCCGTCCTGATGAGACCGACCAGCTGAGGACGCTCTAACATTTGAGGACGTCTCCGTCCTGATGAGACCGACCAGCTGAGGACGCTCTAACATTTGAGGACGTCTCCGTCCTGATGAGACCGACCAGCTGAGGACGCTTTAGCGTTTGAGGACGTCTCCGTCCTGATGAGACCGACCAGCTGTGGACGCTTTAACTTTTGAGGACGTCTCCGTCCTGATGAGACCGACCAGCTGAGGACGCTCTAACATTTGAGGACGTCTCCGTCCTGATGAGACCGACCACCTGAGGACGCTCTAACGTTTGAGGACGTCTCTGTCCTGATGAGACAGACCAGCTGAGGACGCTTTAGCGTTTGAGGACGTCTCCGTCCTGATGAGACCGACCAGCTGAGGACGCTCTAACATTTGAGGACGTCTCCGTCCTGATGAGACCGACCACCTGAGGACGCTCTAACATTTGAGGACGTCTCCGTCCTGATGAGACCGACCAGCTGAGGACGCTTTAGCGTTTGAGGACGTCTCCGTCCTGATGAGACCGACCAGCTGTGGACGCTTTAACTTTTGAGGACGTCTCCGTCCTGATGAGACCGACCAGCTGAGGACGCTCTAACATTTGAGGACGTCTCCGTCCTGATGAGACCGACCACCTGAGGACGCTCTAACGTTTGAGGACGTCTCCGTCCTGATGAGACAGACCAGCTGAGGACGCTTTAGCGTTTGAGGACGTCTCCGTCCTGATGAGACAGACCACCTGAGGACGCTCTAACGTTTGAGGACGTCTCCGTCCTGATGAGACAGACCAGCTGAGGAAGCTTTAGCGTTTGAGGACGTCTCCGTCCTGATGAGACAGACCACCTGAGGACGCTCTAACGTTTGAGGACGTCTCCGTCCTGATGAGACCGACCAGCTGAGGACGCTCTAACATTTGAGGACGTCTCCGTCCTGATGAGACAGACCAGCTGAGGACGCTCTAACGTTTGAGGACGTCTCCGTCCTGATGAGACCGACCAGCTGAGGACGCTCTAACATTTGAGGACGTCTCCGTCCTGATGAGACCGACCAGCTGAGGACGCTCTAACGTTTGAGGACGTCTCCGTCCTGATGAGACCGACCAGCTGAGGACGCTTTAGCGTTTGAGGACGTCTCCGTCCTGATGAGACCGACCAGCTGAGGACGCTCTAACATTTGAGGACGTCTCCGTCCTGATGAGACCGACCAGCTGAGGACGCTTTAGCGTTTGAGGACGTCTCCGTCCTGATGAGACCGACCAGCTGTGGACGCTTTAACTTTTGAGGACGTCTCCGTCCTGATGAGACCGACCAGCTGAGGACGCTCTAACATTTGAGGACGTCTCCGTCCTGATGAGACCGACCACCTGAGGACGCTCTAACGTTTGAGGACGTCTCCGTCCTGATGAGACAGACCAGCTGAGGACGCTTTAGCGTTTGAGGACGTCTCCGTCCTGATGAGACAGACCACCTGAGGACGCTCTAACGTTTGAGGACGTCTCCGTCCTGATGAGACAGACCAGCTGAGGAAGCTTTAGCGTTTGAGGACGTCTCCGTCCTGATGAGACAGACCACCTGAGGACGCTCTAACGTTTGAGGACGTCTCCGTCCTGATGAGACCGACCAGCTGAGGACGCTCTAACATTTGAGGACGTCTCCGTCCTGATGAGACAGACCAGCTGAGGACGCTCTAACGTTTGAGGACGTCTCCGTCCTGATGAGACAGACCAGCTGAGGACGCTCTAACATTTGAGGACGTCTCCGTCCTGATGAGACCGACCAGCTGAGGACGCTCTAACATTTGAGGACGTCTCCGTCCTGATGAGACCGACCAGCTGAGGACGCTCTAACGTTTGAGGACGTCTCCGTCCTGATGAGACCGACCAGCTGAGGACGCTTTAGCGTTTGAGGACGTCTCCGTCCTGATGAGACCGACCAGCTGAGGACGCTCTAACATTTGAGGACGTCTCCGTCCTGATGAGACCGACCACCTGAGGACGCTCTAAAGTTTGAGGACGTCTCCGTCCTGATGAGACCGACCAGCTGAGGACGCTCTAACGTTTGAGGACGTCTCCGTCCTGATGAGACCGACCAGCTGAGGACGCTTTAGCGTTTGAGGATGTCTCCGTCCTGATGAGACCGACCAGCTGAGGACGCTCTAACGTTTGAGGACGTCTCCGTCCTGATGAGACCGACCAGCTGAGGACACTCTAACGTTTGAGGACGTCTCCGTCCTGATGAGACCGACCAGCTGAGGACGCTTTAGCGTTTGAGGACGTCTCCGTCCTGATGAGACCGACCAGCTGAGGACGCTTTAGCGCTTGAGGACGTCTCCGTCCTGATGAGACCGACCAGCTGTGGACGCTTTAACTTTTGAGGACGTCTCCGTCCTGATGAGACCGACCAGCTGAGGACGCTTTAGCACTTGAGGACGTCTCCGTCCTGATGAGACCGACCAGCTGAGGACGCTTTAGCACTTGAGGACGTCTCCGTCCTGATGAGACCGACCAGCTGTGGACGCTTTAGCGTTTGAGGACGTCTCCGTCCTGATGAGACCGACCAGCTGTGGACGCTTTAACTTTTGAGGACGTCTCCGTCCTGATGAGACCGACCAGCTGAGGACGCTTTAGCACTTGAGGACGTCTCCGTCCTGATGAGACCGACCAGCTGAGGACGCTTTAGCACTTGAGGACGTCTCCGTCCTGATGAGACCGACCAGCTGTGGACGCTTTAGCGTTTGAGGACGTCTCCGTCCTGATGAGACCGACCAGCTGTGGACGCTTTAACTTTTGAGGACGTCTCCGTCCTGATGAGACCGACCAGCTGAGGACGCTCTAACGTTTGAGGACGTCTCCGTCCTGATGAGACCGACCAGCTGAGGACGCTTTAGCGTTTGAGGACGTCTCCGTCCTGATGAGACCGACCAGCTGAGGACGCTTTAGCGTTTGAGGACGTCTCCGTCCTGATGAGACCGACCACCTGAGGACGCTCTAACGTTTGAGGACGTCTCCGTCCTGATGAGACCGACCAGCTGAGGACGCTTTAGCGTTTGAGGACGTCTCCGTCCTGATGAGACCGACCAGCTGAGGACGCTTTAGCGTTTGAGGACGTCTCCGTCCTGATGAGACCGACCACCTGAGGACGCTCTAACGTTTGAGGACGTCTCCGTCCTGATGAGACCGACCAGCTGAGGACGCTCTAACGTTTAAGGACGTCTCCGTCCTGATGAGACCGACCAGCTGAGGACGCTCTAACGTTTGAGGACGTCTCCGTCCTGATGAGACCGACCAGCTGAGGACGCTCTAACGTTTGAGGATGTCTCCGTCCTGATGAGACCGACCAGCTGAGGACGCTTTAGCGTTTGAGGACGTCTCCGTCCTGATGAGACCGACCAGCTGAGGACGCTCTAACGTTTAAGGACGTCTCCGTCCTGATGAGACCGACCAGCTGAGGACGCTCTAACGTTTGAGGACGTCTCCGTCCTGATGAGACCGACCAGCTGAGGACGCTTTAACGTTTGAGGACGTCTCCGTCCTGATGAGACCGACCAGCTGAGGACGCTTTAGCGTCGACGTTCCTGCTAACACAAGCATCTCTGATTAGTCGCGTCTCCTTTTTGCTCCTGTGAGCCATACAGTCTCCTTTATTAGGGCTTCCTGTTATTTCTGACGTCCATCAACCGACTTCCTTCACGAGTGGAAATATCAACATAAATGTATAAAAGTGCCTTTAAACCACATAAATGAGATTGAGAGTCTTCAGGTGTGTTTGCTGCCCTGATAAACGGAGCAGGACCTTATTTTGGGTGGTTCAATCCTTCCTCCGCTTCAGCAGCAGCGATGAAGACCAGTGGAGATGATCCTGGAGAGACGCGTTAAACGTCCTGGTTCATCAGCAACGAGCTCTTCGGTCCCGTCAGCAGAGACGCTCTTTGAGTTTGTGCCAGCATCTCCGCGGCTGGAGAGAGAGTATAATTACGTCTGCAGGCGGGAGCATCAGGACTTGTTTTTGTTCATGTCTTCTGAAAAGTGGTTTGGGCTGGAGCTGATGGCCGCTGTGTAGGCAGAAACAAAAGGAAACCCTGCAGATTAGAGCTGAAAACGCAGGAAACAAATGTGGAAACGCAGCGTGTGGGTGAGACGAAGACAAAACCCCCGGGGGTGGGAAAAGTCAAATCCTGATGAATAATCAACAGGATGCTGAGACTCAGTCTAAAGCAAGTTTGTGTCGGAATAAAACAAAAACCAGCTGCTCAACGTTCCTGTTTTCTTACGGATTCTTTCCCGACGATGAAGTTGGTTTAAGGGTTAGGGCTCTGGATGTTGTAGGCTGTTCCGCTGGACTAGCGGGTCGGGTGGTGGAAGAGAGAAAGATGAATGAGAAGATAACAGTGGAGCTGACGGCAGTAAGGAGGATTATTTTCCCAGGGAGAAAAAAGGACAGTGGGTGGATACGAGCTCCTGAACGTTTAACATCGGGCTGGGCGATGGGGCCCTGGGCACAATCACAATATACACTATAGATGGATGTGGTCTTCCTGTACACCTACAGGGGATCACACTCCTGAGCCTCCCTGGTAAGGTCTATTCAGGGTTCTGGAGAGGAGGGTCCGGCGGATTGTCCAACCTCGGATTCAGGAGGAACTATATGGTTTTGGTCCTGGCCGTGGAACACTGGACCAGCTTTGTACCCTTAGGGGATCCTGGAGGGTACGTGGGACTTCGCCCAACCAGTCTACATGTGTTTGTGGATTTGGAGAAGGTGTTTGACCGCGTCCCTCGGGGGGCCCTGTGGGGGGTACTCTGGGAGTATGGGGTACCAGGTCCTCTGATACGGGCTGTTCGGTCCCTGTATGACCGGTGTCAGAGCTCGGTCTGCATTGCCGGCAGTAAGTCGGGCTCGCTCCCAGTGAGAGTTGGACTCCGCCAAGGCTGCCCTTTGTCACCGATTCTGCTCATAACCTTTATGGACAGGATTTCTAGGCGCAGCCAAGGTGTGGAGGGAAAGCTGGAGCATGAGATCAACAGGTGGATGGGTGCTGCGTCTGCAGTGATGCGGGCGTTGTACCGGTCCGTCGTGGTGAAGAGAGAGCTGAGTCAGAAGGCGAAGCTCTCGATTTACCGGTCAATCTACGTTCCTACCCTCACCTATGGTCATGAGCTTTGGGTAGTGACGCGCGTCTCTTCTGGTGGTCGGTTCTGACCTGGTTCTGACGGTGATCTGAGCTCCAGAAATCCACATTTAATTTTTTAAACCCCTCCATGGGTCTCCAGAGTGGACCTCCCTGACCCGGTTGTGACCGATGTGGGCTTCTCAGCTGCAGAAACGCCCTCAGGCACGGAGATAGAGGCGTTGTTCCTCTGATCTGGAAACCCGTGGACTCGATGTGCAGACAGGCTGGAGTAGGCGCAGCCTTCACACACTCTAGTTTATCAACATGAACACAACCCAACACTAGTAAACACACACTGACTGGATCACATGACCTCTCTACCCTAAAACTAGCCTCTCCACACTGAGCTGAGGCAGCCTAGCTTCTAAGTCCCTTTGGTTACGTCAGAGTTCACATTTAGAAAGAGAAAGGAACTTTTTACTAGAAAACTGCTGTTATGTGTTTAAAACCAAATATCCAAAATAAGCTTTTCTAATAGGATTTTTTAGACAACGTTTTGTATGAATTGGAAAAAAAACCCCTGTAATTTGTTGTTTAAAGAGACGAAGGCATAGCGAGGAGAAAGGTTTTGGTTCTACAAACAGACACTAGGGGGTGCTCAAAGCAAGCCAAACAGCCTGATCTCCTTAAATATAAAGTTCCGTTTTAAAAGCTGCACTGAAGATGAACACATGAACCAGATACAGAAATAACCCGAATAATCATAATAATCAGGCTCCAGATGATAAATTAAATCTGTTTCTAATGTAAACCTTGTTGATTCTCTTTGATAACTCAGAATAAAAACGATGAGTTTAGAGCTAGTAAAGGTTCTGGTTCCTGTTGGACATCTGGGATGTTTTAACCCACATATCTGATACCAATCCTTGTTCTCCTCCCATCAGGACCCTTCGTGGAGCGAGCGATCCTCACCAGTAAAACCAGTGAAGCCGTCTGGTTCCACAGCCAAGATGTTTTACCCAACGTTGCTCAGACGGACAAGGAATGAAACGCTTGTGTCGCTGTAAATAAAGCAAATGCTGAATAAAGTTTTAGTTCAGGACCTCCTGAGAATCACAAAAGTTCATCTAATCAACCAAACCAGAACAATGTAAAGGTGTTTGAGTTTTGAAGCCTGAAGGTCACCCGAGTGGACAGACATACCTTTTAAAGCTTTTTACTGCGGGAGAAGTTTTTAAGTTGGATTTTAAATTCAGATGAGTGGAACCTAGGTCACATCAAAGTAAACGTCTGCGTGGAGTTGCGTGTCTCCCCATGCACGCGTGGGTTTCCTCTGGGTACTCCGGTTTCCCCCACAGATCATCACATGCCCTATAGGTTATAAGTCGCTTTGGATAAAAGCGTCTGCTAAATCAATAAACGTAAACATCCTTAGTGAAAGAATAGTTTAGTGGCTCGGTGTGAAAGTGTGTGCAGTACAGCTAAATAAAGTACTTTTATTTTGTTAACGATTAAGCCTGTCTGGAGTCCGGTTGTAATTCAGCCATCCGACCTCCAGGAGGCAGTGCTCAACATGATTCTGCAGCCTGCTGCTCCTAAACCTGATGATGTAGAGCTTTCTTTATTTCAGTAGTTTACCTGAAGCCTGAATAAACCTGACGATGTAGACTTTTCTACATTTCAGTAGTTTACCTGAAGCCTGAGTAAACCTGACGATGTAGACTTTTCTACATTTCAGTAGTTTACCTGAAGCCTGAGTAAACCTGACGATGTAGACTTTACTACATTTCAGTAGTTTACCTGAAGCCTGAGTAAACCTGACGATGTAGACTTTTCTACATTTCAGTAGTTTACCTGAAGCCTGAGTAAACCTGACGATGTAGACTTTTCTACATTTCAGTAGTTTACCTGAAGCCTGAGTAAACCTGACGATGTAGACTTTTCTACATTTCAGTAGTTTACCTGAAGCCTGAGTAAACCTGACGATGTAGACTTTACTACATTTCAGTAGTTTACCTGAAGCCTGAGTAAACCTGACGATGTAGACTTTTCTACATTTCAGTAGTTTACCTGAAGCCTGAGTAAACCTGACGATGTAGACTTTTCTACATTTCAGTAGTTTACCTGAAGCCTGAGTAAACCTGACGATGTAGACTTTTCTACATTTCAGTAGTTTACCTGAAGCCTGAGTAAACCTGACGATGTAGACTTTTCTACATTTCAGTAGTTTACCTGAAGCCTGAGTAAACCTGACGATGTAGACTTTTCTACATTTCAGTAGTTTACCTGAAGCCTGAGTAAACCTGACGATGTAGACTTTACTACATTTCAGTAGTTTACCTGAAGCCTGAGTAAACCTGACGATGTAGACTTTTCTACATTTCAGTAGTTTACCTGAAGCCTGAGTAAACCTGACGATGTAGACTTTTCTACATTTCAGTAGTTTACCTGAAGCCTGAGTAAACCTGACGATGTAGACTTTTCTACATTTCAGTAGTTTACCTGAAGCCTGAGTAAACCTGACGATGTAGACTTTTCTAAATTTCAGTAGTTTACCTGAAGCCTGAGTAAACCTGATGATGTAGACTTTTCTGCATTTCAGTAGTTTACCTGAAGCCTGAGTTAACCTGATGATGTAGACTTTTCTACATTTCAGTAGTTTACCTGAAGCCTGAGTAAACCTGATGTAGAGCTTTCTACATTTCAGTAGTTTACCTGAAGCCTGAGTAAACCTGAGTGACGATGTAGACTTTTCTACATTTCAGTAGTTTACCTGAAGCCTGAGTAAACCTGACGATGTAGACTACTACATTTCAGTAGTTTACCTGAAGCCTGAGTAAACCTGATGATGTAGACTTTTCTGCATTTCAGTAGTTTACCTGAAGCCTGAGTAAACCTGATGTAGAGCTTTCTACATTTCAGTAGTTTACCTGAAGCCTGAGTAAACCTGATGTAGAGCTTTCTACATTTCAGTAGTTTACCTGAAGCCTGAGTTAACCTGATGATGTAGACTTTTCTACATTTCAGTAGTTTACCTGAAGCCTGAGTAAACCTGATATAGAGCTTTCTACATTTCAGTAGTTTACCTGAAGCCTGAGTAAACCTGACGATGTAGACTTTTCTACATTTCAGTAGTTTACCTGAAGCCTGAGTAAACCTGACGATGTAGACTTTTCTACATTTCAGTAGTTTACCTGAAGACTGAGTAAACCTGACGATGTAGACTACTACATTTCAGTAGTTTACCTGAAGCCTGAGTAAACCTGATGATGTAGACTTTTCTGCATTTCAGTAGTTTACCTGAAGCCTGAGTAAACCTGACGATGTAGACTTTTCTACATTTCAGTAGTTTACCTGAAGCCTGAGTAAACCTGACGATGTAGACTTTTCTACATTTCAGTAGTTTACCTGAAGACTGAGTAAACCTGACGATGTAGACTACTACATTTCAGTAGTTTACCTGAAGCCTGAGTAAACCTGATGATGTAGACTTTTCTGCATTTCAGTAGTTTACCTGAAGCCTGAGTTAACCTGATGATGTAGACTTTTCTACATTTCAGTAGTTTACCTGAAGCCTGAGTAAACCTGATGTAGAGCTTTCTACATTTCAGTAGTTTACCTGAAGCCTGAGTAAACCTGAGTGACGATGTAGACTTTTCTACATTTCAGTAGTTTACCTGAAGCCTGAGTAAACCTGACGATGTAGACTACTACATTTCAGTAGTTTACCTGAAGCCTGAGTAAACCTGATGATGTAGACTTTTCTGCATTTCAGTAGTTTACCTGAAGCCTGAGTTAACCTGATGATGTAGACTTTTCTACATTTCAGTAGTTTACCTGAAGCCTGAGTAAACCTGATGTAGAGCTTTCTACATTTCAGTAGTTTACCTGAAGCCTGAGTAAACCTGATGTAGAGCTTTCTACATTTCAGTAGTTTACCTGAAGCCTGAGTTAACCTGATGATGTAGACTTTTCTACATTTCAGTAGTTTACCTGAAGCCTGAGTAAACCTGATATAGAGCTTTCTACATTTCAGTAGTTTACCTGAAGCCTGAGTTAACCTGATGATGCAGACTTTTCTACATTTCAGTAGTTTACCTGAAGCCTGAGTTAACCTGATGATGCAGACTTTTCTACATTTCAGTAGTTTACCTGAAGCCTGAGTAAACCTGCAGCAAAAGCCTCGGTTCGTTTCTCCTGAGGGAAAAATAAATGGTTCATCTTCAGAATTGAGCATGCATTTAGATTCTTACTCCTCACAAATAATCATTTAATGTTTTCATTTGTGAAACTATAAAAAATAAATGTTTAACTAGTTATTTGAACGTTGACCTAACACTAAGTTAGCAGTAGGTCAAAGTTCACCTGATCCTGCCCTACCTCCCACACCGCCACCAGCAGTTATAAATAGCTGCAGGAAGCTGAAACTGATTCTGATCTGTGTTTTGGACCGAGTGCAGATGAGCTTTCTGCCATGTGACAGTGAGGAATCTTGTTCCGGTTAAACATCCCTGCCATCCCTCAGCAGCTCAGAGTGGTACGGCTCGGTGCCGCTCCGTTTGGCTGACCTGAAACCATCAGCATGAGTCGGTCCGTCACAGAAACACCAACGCTTCCGTTTTAGAACTAAAACTGGAAGGTTTTCATGTTTTAATGGTGACAGGGACTTAAGGTCCCACCCTGGAACCAGAGGATTTGAGCCCCAACTGTTGCAGGGCTTGTGCACTTGGGCAAGGCACGTCACCCTCCTGCTGCTGGTGGTTGGAGGGACTGGTGGTGCCTGGATGGCAGCTTTACTACCTGTGTCAGTGGCCGTGTTCGAGATGAGCCAGTTCTGCGCAGATTCGATCACCGGTGATCGGTGAGCAGTGCATGCCGGTTAGATTTGTGTGTGACTTGACGCCGACTTGCTCTGACGTCATGCATACGTAGGCAACGATAACCTCGTGAGATCGAGGAGGCCGCAGATTTTGGAGCAAGGCGCTGCAGTTGCTCTCCACCGGCTGCAAAACCTAGAGGATGACGGGAAACGCCTGGCTCTCACCTGATCTTAGATCTGATTGGTTCACATTTTGATCCGAACATCCGGTGGTAGAACATGAAATGTTAGTTGGTCACATGTATTCTGTAAATCATGTTACGTTGATGATGACAACTATATAAGCCATAAGGAGAAATGTAATTTGTGTTCTATGTCAAGTTTCCTATGAGCACACTGAACCTACAGCTGATAACCTTTACTTATTATTACAGTCATGTCTTCATATACAATATATGATATCCATGAGCACGTGAGGATGTGTTCCAGCTGCTAACAGGCACCACAATTAAAATGACAAATTAAACAAGTGTGAACTCTAACGCGATATCTTCGTCCGTCGTCACCCGTGAGCTACACATGTAGGAAAATCTGTCCAACTTAAACTCCCGACTTTCAGCCACTCCCCCTTTTGCGTCAGTCTGCTCTCGTCTGTTTTCCATTTATAGTTACAAACGTGAGTTATGTCTATTGGGTTTCTGGAAGTCTACGATGTAGCGCCTGTCTCTTTAAAACACGCCCCTATCTGAACATGTGCTCTGATTGGTGAGATTGTTTTAAGATAACAGCCTTTTTTTTTGACTCTACCTATCAACCTATGAGGCAGGCCTTCTGGTCACCAGTTAGGCTCCTCCTCCTCATGCTGGTCACCAGTTAGGCCCCTCCCCCTCACGCTGGTCACCAGTTAGGCTCCTCCCCCTCACGCTGGTCACCAGTTAGGCTCCTCCCCCTCACTCTGGTCACCAGTTAGGCTCCTCCCCCTCATGCTGGTCACCAGTTAGGCTCCTCCCCCTCACATGGTCACCAGTAAAAGACAATTAAACTTTTTCTAATGTAAATTTAATTAGAATAAATCTGCTGAATCAATTTGGACTTTATTTTCTAATCAGATGTTAACATTTGTGTCCAAATACAAAACAAGCTGTATATTTACACACCACCCACCCTGGACACGTCTCTTTGACTCGCTCCCATCTGGCAGGAGGCTCCGATCCATTCGGACCAGAACCTCTCACCACAAGAAGAGTTTATTCCCCTCTGCGGTCGGTCTCATGAACAACAAT